AATTCAAATTTTTAATAGGCGCTTTCCGGTATGGCTTTGAGTTCCCTCTGCGAATTCTGTTTTACGTCTTCTATGGATTCAAAACGCGTTCCTCTGAGTGGTAATTTGAGGTTGGGAAACAGGAAAAAGTCACACGGTGCAAGATCAGGTGAATACGGTGGCTGTTCGATGGTATTTATTGAATGTTTGGCCTTAAAATCGTTGATAATGTTGAACAAATTGAGGTGAATCGGAACAAGCCGGGCGTTGACACGTCGCATACACAAATTGTCCACCAAAATCAAACGAGCCATCTCACGACCGATGCCTAGCTCTCGTGCTATCTCTCTAACACTCACATGAGGATTTTTGAACACGATTTCCTTTGCCTTTTCAATGTTTTCGTCGGTGGTAGAGGTCGAAGGTCGTCCAGAACGCGGCATGTCTTCGACGGTCGTACGACAGTCCTGAAAGGCTTTGTACCACTCATAAACTTGAGTTTTCGATAAAACTGATTCCCCATAAGCCTTTTGTAGCATTCGCAACGATTCTGCACACGAAATTTCGTTCGAAAAACAAAATTTGATGCAAACTCTTTGTTCAATATTTTTTTCCATTGTTTTTTTCGCAACGCACTACTGAGGTGAACTGGTTTCAACAGCTGCCGTAAACGAACTGTCTGACAGATCGCGCTCATTTTGGCATAGTATTAAGGACAGTGCTCCAACCTACATAAACTTAAAATATCGAAAAATATACAGCGCGCGAATTTTAAATGAGAATTTCCGAAAACTTTTCGGTCACAATGTATGTGAATTTAGATTGAAAAAGTTATCCCAGATTTACCAATTGAAAACGGCATTAGTAATAATAAATTCAAAAGAACTATAGTTCACAGTGTAATATACATTTTTGATATATGCTATTAGAAGAAACTGAAAATCAACGTCTTGATTAATGGAACCAATTATTGGAATAATAAGTCTGGCAGTGCCACATCGTAATTGATTTTGATAGAGTATTATTATAAATTTTAAAAGTATGATAAATTTTATTTTTCAAGAAAAGCATGTAAAACAATATTTATGTCTAAATTATTATTTTTGTAAAGTTAAGTATGGTAAACTACATATAATATTACTTCATAAAAACACTTACTTGTGTAGTTGTCAGTCCGGTAGCCTCTGCTAGTTCACGTTTTTCACGTGGCGATGGATATGGGTTATGTGCGTACCAGTCTCTTAATACTGATCGAGATTTTTCCTGCAATATATATATATATATATATATAATACAAAATATTGACATTGGGATGACACAGTTGTAAATTGTATATACTAATATATATAATATGTTTAACGACTCTTTTATAAAATATGGAATTTATATTAAAATAAAAGGCAAATGCGTTTTGAAATAGTACCGGTAAAGCAGTTCTTAATTGAATAGTTCAATCTTTATATTTGATGTTTAATCTTTCTAAATTAAAACTTCTCTGAGATTTTTAAGAAAACTGTTTCTATTTATTGAACTTATCTCGATTTCCTAAATGTCTAAAAACTAAAAATTATCATTTTAAGTCGCTAATTAAATTTCTTCTCATTCAAAAAAATTCAAAAAATTAAAAGAAAAAACAAACAAAAGGTAATCAAAAGAAGCCTTTTGTGCAATAAAAAACAACTTCATTTATGTAATCATTTAAACAGGAAATTGTACTTCAAATCCATAAAATGTACACATGTGAATTCTACATTAACCCAGTTTCCTTGCGTGTAAGCAAAACCCTGGGTAACTTAACTTAAAATTGAGGGAGAAATTTTGTTGCACAGAACACTGCTACGATTTCCTTGTGGCTTTCGACTTTGTTTGATTTTTATTTACCTTACAAAGGATACCCCTAGTACCTTCAAAACGATTGAAACGAAAAAGTTACTTTCGTTCATTTAACCTACCTTAAAGCAGTAACTCGTCTCTTCACCGTCCCAAATTGTGCGCGGCAGTGGAAATTTACGACGTACTCGATATTTACCAACAGCACCTAACGGTCTTCCGCGCAGTTTTTCGGCTTCTACATAATGCGCTACAATTATAAAAAATAAAAATATAAATAACAAAATCAAACCGAAACAAACTTTTTTTTATTTTAATTTTTAGTAACGCTAGGTACGACACCAGGATAATATAGTTTACCTTTTAACCAGAGGCTTTGAAGTTTGGTATGATTGTGCGGTGAGAATTGATGAAGTTCCAACAGACGATACAGATCCTTGTATTGTCCGCGATGGAATGCAACAACGGCTTTTGCTTTCAGCACAGACTCGTTTAATTGCAGTTTATCACATTGTGGCAATGACCATAAAAATCGACCCAGTCTTTCAATGTTACCAGCTTGTTGCAGGACCTGTAGATAATAATGTAGAGTTTGACAAGAGTTTATTTGGATCTCAAAGTTTACATTTTTATACATTATCAAATATAACATATTTTTATAAATTTGACTAAAGTTATAGGTTCAAACAAACCTCACAAACGCAAGCCACTTGCTCCTGTGTAAATCCAAAGCTAGGCAAAGATTCACGTCCGCCGGCGCCATTGCTACTTCCACTATTGCTGCCCATGTGGACGTTATTGTTGTTATTGGAGACGCCACTACCGGCGCCGTTGTGTCCCAACATATCCAGATTGTTATTACTGCTTAAGCTGTTATTGTTATTTGTTAAACTGGAACTACTCAGACTAGTTGGACTGTAGGGAGGCGTTTGTCGTGCGTTCAGTACAGCCGCATTTGCAGCGGCTAAGTCATAAAAATCAGTGGCGGGATGATGGAGCATTTTGTGTTAGTTTTTTATTTCTTTGTTCACTTTTGAATAATTATACAGAATGGATATGCAATTCTTAATTCTCTTTTTAATTTATTTTTTTATATGTACAAATTCATGTTTTAAATCTTTGGTGATTTTGCTGAAAATATAAATAATAATTTTTATCATAAAAAATATACAAAAACAGTGAAACTCAAAAATATATATAAATTTTTTTCCTTTTTATAAACTTAAGCAAAATAGTAGTAATTAATTGAATGAATCCCTAAATATAATTTATTAAAGTTCTTTGGAAAAAGTGTAGAACGCATCAAATAATCAGTTACCTTATCTCTACAATATTAGTTTATTGTAGAGAATCTATTAGTTTTAAAGGAGAACCTATTATATATAATCGGTTCCTTTTTTGAAAATCTATAATAAAAGAATTTATGTTGACTAACTATCTCAAAATCAAATAAATTTTTTCGTGAACAAATGAATTGAATAGTACAGTAAAATCTAAGCTCATAGTTAAATAGAGAATTACGAATATACTTCATGTTTTGTGCTGTATCTGATCCTAACCGTCAAAAGATAATACTGCATTCTAAATAAGGGTGAGAGTAACGGAAATATTAACTCTCATCCCAGTATTCCTCTCTTGTCTAAATTAAACAAAGAACTGATTAACAGTTATTATCGGAAAAAATGACAATCTTTGACCTGAGGTAGAATCATCGTATGGAAATAATATACTTGAAGTGTTAAGCCAATAACGACGTCTTTCGGTTTTTATCAAGCTATTATTTAGAGATTTAGTTTTGGAATAACACTATAATTCTACAAAAAGGTTTTGGTGTACAAAATTTTTTGACTGAACTGCTTTTTATGGCATTATCTGTGAAATAGTTACTATTAATTCCAGCATAAGCATTTTCCGGTTATGATTTGCCACCATTTAGAGTGTATAAAGTAGTAAGCGCTTAAGTATTTATATAGATATAGATGTGAAGTGTAAGAGAAAATGATGGCTGGCTCGGCAGAAGATTGATTGCAGTGCAAAGGTCAAATAGTTCTGCTCTAACTCTTGCAGGACATAATTTTTTTATATCAAATTCATTATACTCCTAGATAGAAATTTGTTATATTAAATAATTTATAGGTGTTGAAAAGTAAATTAATGATAGATTATTATTCTATTATATTATAAATAACTCGTATATGTCTCTTTTTTAACTTCAAAAAATATCAATCAATTTTTAAGTCTATTTAAAACGTATAGTTTTCAATTGTGGCTATTTCTAAAAATGTTGAAACAATATTTTTTTTATAAGTTGAATAATGTTCTAAACAAATTAAAAATAAAGAATAAAGCAAAATTTTGAATTTGTTTATAGAGTAGAATATCATATACCCACTTGCGTCACACCATCGAATTTCACACAAAGTTTCGAAATATGGCCTAAGAAATTCTATTTTCAGTCTGAGAAATTGAAGAAAACCGAAAGAAACTTGGCGTTGGTATCGGATCGTCATTACATGAACATGAGATACACAAAAATTGTGAAAACAGATTCAAGAATATCTCAAATCTCAACCAAAATGTGTAAACGTGAAAATTTATACATAGAAAGTGATAGGTATACGTGAATTGTTGCTATAAAATGAAATATGTACAGTGGGTTAAATATATTTATATTGCTTATTATTAAATAATTCACTTAAAAGACAAATTATGAGCTAAGAGCGTTATAAAAAAAATCCTCGACAAAAGAGAAATTGGATCCTTTATTCTTTGTTTATGTTATAATTAACCTAAGAAGAGAATTGGTATTAAGAATTTATAAGTAAAAGCGAAAAAGTTCCTTAATATGTTTCATTCAAGTTATAGATTAAAATTAACGGGTATGAGTCCTCGAAATGAAAATATTCTAGTTAATTTATTTCTAAATATTGTTAGTGAATGAAAAATAGTTAATATAAAGTGAACTAATTAAGCAACTTTACAACTTTACTTGCTGTACCATCAAATAATTTAACAAATCATAAATTATAAAGTTATGTGAAACAAGAATGTTTCCTCTAGAGTACGGAAAAAAATTTACACATATAGAGCTCATAGACACATATCACTTTAATTTTAAGAAGAGATAATTATCTCGATGATTTATAACTATTATGCTGTTAATGACCATATAGTTAGTCAATATCGTTCCGTATAAAATTTAAACTAAATGGTTTCGCTGTCTGTGGTATGTTTAAATTTGGTAGTCTCTTGTCTGGTAATTCAATATGATGGCTTTCGTTTCAAAATCACATATTCTGAAATTAATTTAGTTATAAGAAAGTGACAACAGTCATTGCTGAAATATAGGATACTACTCCTTATATACAGAAGATTCTTATCAGTTGAAATAAAAGCTTCTGTCAAAAATAAGTTTAATTAAATTATGGATTGTCATCGTATAATACGTCTTAAGTTTACCAAATAAATTATTTGAAGTTTGTAGTCTCCGATAGAGTTAAACAAGGTTTACTACACATAATACACATAATCATCGTTTTTTTACTAGATTAGATATACTTATTACGTATACTTGTGTTAGACAATTTCTACAAATGATGGTAAAAGTTGGAGTATTGTATACTATAAAAATAATAGATTTAAATTGTAAACTATTATTTAGAGTTAATAATAAGAATAAGAGTTGAGAACTTTGAAAGAGAATCAGGTGAGATAAGATAATGTGAGTTGAACTATGGATTACATACTTAGATTGTTAGAACTATTGTTATACTGGTATTACCATGTTAATTTGCCTATGTGTATTTAAATGTTAATCACTCAGATTTTCAGATTTAAAACAATTACCACATAAAGTTTATGGAAGTAGGCCTCAAACATACAACGAAATGGCCAAAGTTTTTAAGGGATGAGCTGTCGGAACTGACTTCCCCGTTTTGTGACCCATTTCATTCTGTCTTGTCGACCATAAGCTAAATTTACAACATAGGGTAGCAATAGTAGGAATTGCTCCTCTCCTGTGTGATCGTCTTTCATACAATAACAATTGTTTATTAGACTTCATTTAAATTTTACTTAAATTCTATTTTTCAAGTATTAAACCTGAATCCTTTCCAAAGGTTAACAATTATACTAGCTCATTGGAATTATTTTGCTTAGTTATTTGGTTTAGTTTTTTCTTTATAAAA